TCACACACTGGAATTGAATTAACCAGACACCCAGTGTTAGAGTAATCAACATTTGGCACTAAATTGGAAAATTTGCAAAATTTCCCCCCTAAATTAAATATTTCATTTCAATTACAGGCTCTTTAACTTTTTTATTTTAAGATTTAATTAACTTTGAAATTGAGTGTTCAAATGCTTCACTTTAAAAGGATCAAAACAAGCATTTTCAGCTTTTCTAACATTTTCCTTAAATTTGGGGGATGAAATAATTGGTCAGCTACAACATGGATTTGTGAATAACTGTGGTTTCCTCAAAAGCTTTTTTTTTTTTTTTTTTAAAAAAAAAAATAAATTTATTACATGCAGTAAAACCATACCCAGCTCTACCTGGAATTTCCTTGCACACAATGCACACAGGCCCTTTGGCAGTGACAAGCTTAATTAATATTCCTTTCCACACTCATCCACTTTTCACCTCCCAGATGACCCCTGTCAAAACACGTACTATAGGTATGAAGAACATACAACAGCCCCATAATACTACATTGGGCAGGAGATTCTTCATTCAAGTCAGAATTTTCCCTTTCAGAGAAAAGTGAGAAATATCAATTTAAAACTTCAGAAAAATGCTTCCTTAAAAGAAAAAAAAATCCAAGGTATATTTACCAAATTCTGCAAATTCAGCCTAGGTTCTCAAAGTCTAATTTATGGAGGCAGAATGGGGGCCATATCAAATCGTTTAGAAATAGTAGCTCTTCAGAGCTAAAGGGAAAGTGTGGTTTGAGACAGCAAAATGGGTACATCTACCTCAGTGGTTCAGTTTGGGGGTACTCCCTTTTGGGGACCATTTCACTACCCTTATGGTTCCCAAGGCTGACCCTGGAAGGTCTACAGCAATTCTTCTCCCTAGTCACTCCTTACACTACACGGCAGAAGACGTACAATACATAGCCCAGAAATACTATGGAGGGAATCCTGGCTTCGTTCAGCATAGTCTGAATTGTTTGTTCTCTGGGGGGAGGAAAAAAAAAGAGAGAGAAAAACTCTAGAAAAACACCAATATAGCTGCTATAATTGGCACAAGGAGATGACAGATAAGTAAAAGTAAATTTCTATATCTGACTTTTTTAAAGTTATTCAAAACGGGTTAAAAATGAGAAGGATTTTACAAACATGTTTAAGACCGTTTTTTCAGATACAGCCTGTATTGAAATACATCCCCCCAACTGGTTAACATCTGTTTTTATAATAAGCACAGGAAGAACAATTACATCATCTACTCTAACTTCCTCTATAACGTAAGTCTTTTTCAGTCAAACACTCCTGTGCTTGACTAAAATTATGTTTAACAGAAACACATCTTCTATGTGCCCATTCTTGATTTGAAGACTTCAAGAATCCAGAAACTACCATCTCCCTTGGTAGTTTGCTCCAATTTGTGTTAAAATATTGCTTGCCTTGCCTACACAGATGACTTTTGAAAGGTGCCAGTGCTTCATCACCTCAAAGGACTGCCAACAGGCTCACATGTGGAGTGTGAATTCCCCCACGGAGGACAGCAGGTAGAGAGGCATGCTTTTCAAGTAGATCAGTTAAAAAAAAAAAAAAAAAAAAAAAAAAAAAAAAAAAAAAAAGGAAACTAGGAAAACCTGTTTTCTCCAGAGCACTGAGAAGGCATAACAGACACATTAGGTTCTATCTCAATTCAGATGGCAGGATTAAATGGAAATCTAAGCTGTCCTTGTTTAGCAGCTTTCACTGCCCACTTGAGTTTGTTAGCTTTCAGTAAAAGCTTGCCCCTCTTTTCACTGCCCATCATATGACAAACATACTTTTTTTAATATCTCAATTTCCTTTTATAAAGGCTGACAGGAAAAATACTGTCAAAGCCCTCCATGTCCTATGTCAAGCGTCAAGCAAGAGACAGTTGATGAAAGTGCAAATTACTATGTCCTGCCAAAGAAAGGAAGACGACCATATGAAATCAGAGCTCCAAAATGTGTGCTGCTCACACCAGATCAGAATTTGATGCGATTTCAGAATTTGCCTAATAGCGTATGTTATGCAGGAAGGGCACCCACAAAGGTGCACACAGATAACAGGGAATCGATTCTCAGTTTCTAATCTCTTCTTCCTCACTCCTACGACTGGGCCAGAGCTTTATCATAGTCCAGAAAAACAGGCACAGCCCTGTTGGTTTGGTGGATCAATTAGTATTTCCAAAGTGCATCTAGACACAGTGTAACGTCACCAAGGCGAATGTTCCAGCCTCCTGCCTAAGGCTCAGTCTGTGAAAACCAGAGGTTGCAGTTGAAGGAAGTTCCCAGTGTGAGAGAACTTGGACCTTATCTACTGCTAAAAGTGACCTGAAGCTGCCCAGCTACACAGCACAAGGCTGAGGAGAGCGAAATGCACCTGGATCATCACAAATGAGTGTCCTATTAAACTCGTACAGCAAAATGCTGTTTGCCGTTGAAGATCCAGCAATCTCTTCTTCCGTCACACCTCATTAGCAGCGAAACTTCAGCAATGCCATTAAGGAGTATTGCCTAACATGAAAGATATTGTTCACTGCAGAACGGTTGTGGGAGGAGAAAAATAGAAAGCAATATGGATCAAAATCACAAAATCAGGAAGCAGGTGTTCACACAGAATAGAGCTCATTTAGCAATGTCTTAGTCACAGGCAGAGAGAGCACTGACTTAATACACCCGCCAGCGCCACCGAAACCCCGCAAGGAGCTACCGGAGACTTGCAGGTGATTAGTCCCCGCTTTCTCCCTCGTACACAGGCTGAGACCACATGCACTTTCATCATTATTTATCATGAGAACTCCTATTGCTCTCCCAAAGGCACCACAAGTACCAGCAGGTTTGAAGGTGTCGACTACTTATTTCTACGACAGAGCTCGCTCAGCCCAGGCGTCCTGATCGCTGAGCACAGCCCCAGCACCACCTCGCCACTGCTGCTCCTGCCATCGGCTCTTCCACAACGTCTTCCTGCAATACGTTCACTTCTCGGTTCCTATCTCCTTTTGACAAAATACCCCCTTTTCAGACACACAGCTCCCAGCAGCAGACCACAGGCTCCTGCTTCACCCTCTCAATGTCCTAAACTGAGATTTCTTGGTACGTTTGGCCAGACTGGGAGGTGTCACACAAAAATAAATTCCATAGGTATCCAGTGCAGCTGGGCTATGGGAGATTTGGTCCAATACAGCAAGCATAAATAATTTCTAGGCTTTCATAAAGACTTTTTCCACCAGGTTGGAATACTTGAACTACAGTCTAAGAATAGCTTGTGATGGAAGGTGAATTGACACAGCTGCCTTTGGGTACAGGCTGAACCAAATGCAAAAGGTGAGGAAATTAGCCAAATAATGAGGAAAAGTGCACTAGGTCAGTATGGGTTCATTGCAACTAAGTGTAATTAGTAGGAGAAGGAGGAAAAATTACCTCACGTTCATAGTGCCCTTTCAAGTGTTAAGGGACATGTAGTTTTGCAAAAAATGTTTCAGTTAATATAAATATTCCAAATATAAGCTCCCATGTCCTAATATACTCATCAAGCAACCTGAACCACATGCTGCTTGAGACAACTATAAATTTATATTATAAGCCCATTTAATGTATGCATAAATAGTAATATTCATCACACCCCCAAAATGATAATTTTGAATTTTAAGATTAAAGATATACTCAGTATGATTTTTTTTAAATGTCTTAGTGATACCTGAAGTTATTTGAAAGGGTCTCAGTGAAGAAAATATTTTATCACTTGATGCTTTTGCCTAATATGTCTTCATTTCACATGACCTGAAGAGTGGAATAAGATTCATCAAGTCTCCATCTTGGTTGTGAGCCACTAGCAAAATACCCTTTAGCTTGCTTGTGCTATGCACTAGAAATTTGTTCCAACACAGCACAGATGCTTTTATTTAAATTTAAAAATAACTACTAAGGAAATCTTTCTTTTCATATTAGGTACAGTAATTTGCTCCCTTTTCTAGGACCGGGAAAGATTTTTAAGCAAATTTTCATATGTTTCCCAACAAAATGAAACAAATTGTGGCAGACAAAACTACCAGGGATAAAAGTACTTGCAAATTCAACTAGACCTTGATAACTACTTTGAATATGCAATATTTAGAAAAAGGTAAGGCTTAGGACATACTGGAAGTCCTGATTAGACAATTTCTGAAATGAAAATTTCAATTTTCCATTGCAGAAATCTGAATAAAAATAATAAAAAAGTGTTTTGACCCTAAATCAATGTGGTTGTTTTCGCTTATTTTACATTGTTCATAAAACTCACACTTTTACTGTCTACAATCACTTAAAATGTTTGTTGTTGTTGTTCAGTTTTGAGCTAAACAGCAAATCATTTATTTACGTCCACAGCCATTTGCAACAACTTTTTTCTAACAAAAATAAAATAGTGGGTCCAAACTGAACTGCAGCGGGACAGGCAGCTGGATATCCTGAAATACCAAACACTGTAGAACTTCTTAAGCACCTGCATGTGCACAGCATGGCTACTACTCTTCCTTCAGAGACACTAAAACCAAATCTCTAAAAACCTGCAAAAGCAAGAACTTTGATACAGGGGTGAAAGTGCCACCATTTTTTTTGATCCATATTTTTCTCAGTGACTGTGTGTTATTCATGACCTGGGAAGTATCAAACCGGGACAGTTCGCAAAGCCCCTGTATGAAGACAAAGTAGTTGCAGCAAAGAGGTTTCCAGTCAAGCCTGGGAAGAGCAACAACTGCTCCCGCTTCCAGCCAAACCACTCACCAAATAATTGCTTGGGAGTTACATTACTATTTCTTCTTCAAAAAGAAGACTAGACAGAAAGCACAAGGCCACACAGAATTGACTTCTCCACGTTGATATAAACCCTCCTGTTTCGTAACACATGTGGTAAGCAGTGACCATGCAGAGCAGTGAGGAGATCTCATCTGAGCATCAGGAAAGTACACGGTCCTTTTAGCAGAGCCCAGGAGATGCTCCACAAGTGACACCTACTCTCTGACAGTGAACATCATAGATACCTCTTCATCTATTTGAGTGTCCATTTGCCCCGATGTGGCTTGTGTCTGTGTGTTCCAGATGGGAATTTTGTGCTGGTACAACAACACCGGGAGCAAAGTGCTTCTCGATTGCTGCAGCTCCTCAGGCCTGGAAGCCGAAGGCAGACGCTCTCTCTCGGAGCAGCTCCCGGCACAAGTGGCAACTCCAGCTTCCTGCAAATGAAGGAATCCTTCTTTTATATAAAATTCTGAGTATATTTGGTGGTGATGTGCTCTAGGAGGATATCAAGAATTACTGACACTCTTGTTGCTCAGCTTCCCCCATCCTGTGTTCACAAGCTCTCTTCACAAGTCACAACACAGCTGGGATGCACATCTCCAATATGTGCTTTGTATTTTGACACTTTTAATACATCATCGCCCAGTTAAGCAGAAGTCTCAGCCAATCATTAGCTCTACTTCAAATTTTTCTCCTCCTAATTTAGCTTCTGCTTTATCAAAGTTAAAAATCATTTAGCTCCTGAATGCATGATTGATTTGCAATTATTCTCATCTCACCCTCCATGTAAACTGCAGTCATTCCCACTCAGGTGTTTCCTTCTCCATTTCTACACCACTTGCTGCAGATTTCAGTCAGAGAACCAATAAGTTTAAAGGCATCAGCTCCTCTGCTTCAAAACCAAGGGGCAAACAGCAGTCAGGAAGAGTATTTTCAAAGTGAAACCTCTGCAGGGAATATAACTGTGCTATGTTTGGTGCAAAGACTATACCAAACATAGCACAGACTTCCCAGGAACAGGCAAGCCAGAGAACAATGAACATTATTACTCTTAACCCAGCATCCTGACAACAGTCATTGTTAGCATCAGCAGTGACTGCCCAGGACTTGGATCTGACTCTTGGGAAGTCAGAAGCCACTGTTCACAGGAGCTCAATTTAGTTGCTTAAACTGAGGTGTCAGACACCATCTGGGACATGGTAAGGTACCGAGACCTTCAGAAGAGCCACGATGTTGAAGAGGAGGCAGAGGCCAGACAAGATTGCACAAGACATCTAAGATAGCAGTAGACATCTCGCTGTGCATTTTCTTCCCTTCCATTGCTACCTGCCTGTGCTTTGCTGCTGCTTCGTTAATCCTGCTTGGCCCGTGCCATCTTCCTGAATTTCCTCCCTCCCCACAAGAGCTTTTATTGCCATTTCAAAGCATAATTTAACATTCATTACCTTCAGGGGGCTCAAAGACTGGTGGATTCAAGCAGTACATGTGATAGCCACGGTCACAGTCGTCACAGAAGAGCAGCTGGTCCTGATGCAAGGTCATGGCAGAGAGAGCGGGGAAAGGAGGGGAGAGAGAGGGGAAGAGAGAAAATGATGCAGATCAGTCTATTGTCAAGGAGAAAACACAACATGGTGTCCAGTGGTGCCATTTATGGACACAGAGCTGCAACAAAGAGGCTACTGGGATCAGAAAAGGCCACAGATCCCACCTGTGCCTCATGAATCAGCCACTGCACTTCTGGTGGCCAGTGAGCCCTCCTTATCACAGAGGGCTCTTGATGCAGGAGCAAAAGCTGCCAGGCAGGGGATATGCTGAACCAAGAGAGCAGACCTGACATCCCCATTTTGCCAGGCTCCAACATCTGGGGCCCTCTTGTTTCGAGAAACTTTCTCATCAAAAGCCTGGACGCAGCCAACTCTCCAAATCTCAGACAAGTAGGGAATTCTCTGTGAAATGCATGGAAATGCCTGGTCCTCACCATGTGGTCTGTAGCTCTTTCACACACTCAAGGGGAAAAATTGCTCTGAACACATCCGCTGCTCCTAAGAGAGACATTCCCTACTTTCAGTTATACTCATTTAATGATAAAGCAAAAATAAAAGAAAACTGGGCTTCATATTTGTTATGCTATACAGAATGCAGAGGAACCAACCATCTCTGAACTTATTCAGTCACTGGGAATTCTCAGAGTTTCTCCCTGACTATCAAACATCCTTATCAACAGATTTACCTGAAAAGAGCACAAAGAGCCCTCTGTTCAGCTGCAGGCTCCGAATAACAGCTTGGAAATCACTCAAATAGGTGATCAGGTGACGAGAGAGAGGCTTAGTCCTCCCAATCCAAGTGTTGTCATGATTCCCAAGTTTTATAATAGTGAATTAAGCAAAATCAGGGACAGAAGCAGCACACTGTCATCTGCGGGCTAATCACCCATTCTAATCTACTCACGTTTACAAAATTGAAAATATTACCCTTCTGCTGCTTCCTGCAACAGGAGTTTATGGCCTCCAACTAGTTTCTATTGAACAAATGTCCAGATCACTATTATCTTAAGCCACCCTATATGATACCTGTGGTAACTTCAGCAAACACTGGCAGCCGACCGGGTCAGCAAGGAGGAGCAGAGCTCAGAAGTGGCCTTTGCTAGCAGCACCCACACCACAGCCCGTGCCATTGCCCAGGCTTCTCAAGGGCAGGCACGAGGGTAGCTTGCACAAAAAGGTAAACAAACTCACGTCGTTCTCAGAGGTCCCACAAAGGCTGCAGGATTTGCACTCAATGCACTGCCACTGATAGGTTTTGACAGCCTCGGTCATGTTTGCGGTGAACTGCAGGCACGTGGGGTGTCCTGAGGAAGATTGGAAACAACTGTCATCGTTAAGGCTCATTTAGCTATCGGTCATTAACTGGTATTAAGTTTGGGAACAGAACGCACATGGACATGGACTGATCACAACATGGGCTGCAACTAACAGATACCAAAGAGGAAAGCAGGCATTAACCTTTTCGCTGCCGGGCACAAGAGAAAAACCAGAGTCATCCCCACCCATTCACCCATTAGCAAAGCAGTTTTATTCAGAGCTCTTAAAAAGAGGTTTTTTTGTTTGTTTGTTTATTTGTGGGGTTTTTTGTTTTTTGGGGGTGTGGTTTGAGGGTTTTTTTTTTTTGAAAGAAAATGAGAGAAAGGCTGAAATCGGACACTAACCCAATTTCACAGAGAGCCCATCCATTTTTATAGAAATTGGACTACAGTTTCTATTGGCATTGATTCAACCTAACTGAAAGACCTGGGTGAAGTGAGGTGATTCTCCACTTCAGAGCTTCCCTTCCTTGTATGCAAGTGGGGGAGCAATTCTGTAAACTTTCCTAAATGGAAGCAGTAGCATACAGAGAACAGGCGAGACAGGATAGTAAAAGGAATATTCCCTCCCCCCCCACCTTTTTTTTTTTCTTTTTTTTCTTTTTTAAGAGCTCTGCTACTAAAGTTGGTTGGCACAGAAGAAACCAAATTGCACAGCTAACCTTCCAGGATCAAAACAAGAAATTGAAAGGAAAAGAAAAACCAAGCCAACTCTCATAATGAACTAAATGAAAGGAATAAAGAAGGGGAAGCTAGCAGAACAGTCACATCTATTCGGGAAGGACAAACTGCCGGAGTCACAACTCCCGCCCCTACATGCGTGTCGCCTCCAGCTTTGCAAAACAGCGGTATCACAGTGGCAGGGTCAGCAATGGGCTTTCTGGAGGGGAAAATACAAACAAACAAACAGACCAAAGGTAGGATCAGTGTTCCTTCTGCAAAACAAAACAAGAAAAATACACCGCTGAAATACAGTACCGTACTCCAAAGCCACCTCTATCAGGCTGAGGCAGTCTCTAGGCACCTGCAGCAGCTCCTGCTTTCCATCTTGGAAAGCCCTGTGTTTAGCACTGCTCTCTGACACCCAGCAGCACTCACAGCATGCAGAGTCTAAGAGGGGACAGGGGATATCCAGGTGCTCACCTATGCGCACAGAAAAGCTCAAATACAAGCACACACATCCCACGCTACTGAATTCTCACTCTAGAACTTACACCATCAAATGCTCAGGATTTTCCACCTCTAACAAACTTGTTCTTAGACAAGGGAAAAAATAAAATAAAAAACACAACCTTTTCTACTTGCCCTGGTATAAGTGCCTTTTTAGGAAGGCTGGAGCAGGGAATAGAATGCCTGGCTATGACCTGGCAGATGACCTTCTACAGTAGAGCTGTGCTCTCTTCATCCCCACACCTGCCTGCAGTGTTTTGCAGTGCTGCACTACCCAACTGCCACCCTACAATATATAGAAGCTTCTTCATTTTCTAGCTAGTGCTACAAATGGTTGTTGACAAAGGCTGAGTAAGGCAGGAACACTATAAGGAATATCTTTCCTTTACCACCACATCATGGTGGCCACGCACCAGAGAGTGCAATAAGGACTTGGTTTCTCTAGTTACATTTGCACAAGAGTGATATGAAAATCAAGCCCATCCAACAAAGGAATGTGTGTGTACATAAGTTATTAGGGGAATTAAATAGAAAGTAAAGGAGATATTTAAGGAAGGAGGGATCAATGACACTTTTGATATCAATCTCATAAACCTTTGAATAAAGGAGTGTTTTGACATTACTGATGAGCTCAGATTGACTAAGATGATCACTAGATTTTGGAGCTCTTGAAATGTCAAATCTGTGTTTTACTGAGATTTCCACGGGACCAAACACAAGATAAAGTTCTGGGGACCATTAAATCTCAACTATCCGAGAGAATTTGTGAAGGCAACCTTTTCTTGCTGAGAGGGCCTCATATCTTTTCTGATACTACTAAACTAGCAAAACCCTGAAATGATTCTCCAGGGCTGATTTACAGCAAACACAAAACCTCATTCCAAACACCAATAAATAGCAAAAATGTGCCACACTGCACATTAGGGAAGAATTCATCCCAATGGCCACGACTCCAAAGGCTTCCAAAAAGGTTGTGCAGTGCTGGAATATATCAAAGAAAACAACTCATACAGGGACGCGAGTTAATCAGATAGTTAAATAGCTGCAGTCACATTTGAAAAGAAGCAGAAAGAATGAAATCAAACTTACAAAAATAAATCAAGGCTAAATGCATACCCCATACCCACATGCTCGTTTGCTTGCGCACACACACACAGCTCCCTGCAGATATGTTTCCTAGAGAATCTCTCCTTCTTGAAAGACAGTAAGTTCAGGAGTTTGTTCACTGCTCTATCCCTTAGCATTTCATTCCTCTTCTCTTCCAGCTGTCCCTCTCGACTGTCCAGTTCCTCACTCCCCTCAAAAACATCTTTGCACCCTCTGTTTTCTGCACTGTATCTCATACTGACACTATCCTATCCTTGAAGTGAACCATCCCATCTTTTAGAGCCCCTTTTCAAGAACTACATCCACCACAAAAATAAGAGAAACAGGCCAATGTTGGTTGAGGATCTCTTGGAAAACAACAGTAGTGAAGGCCACTGTAACTTCTTCTAAGCAAAAAAAGCAAGAAACTTTTGCAGAAAATATCAATGTATTCACTCAACCAGGCACTCTCTCTCTCTCCAAATCTTGCAGCTATGAAGGAGGCCAACAAATGCCCACAGCCACAGCTGCATAGCCACAGAGTACACTGCTAGCCCGGGGCTTGTTACGTGTCTAAAGGAAAAGAAGTGCCTCATGGATATGTCTTTCTTTAGCCTGCAAGTCAGACCCTCCTTCACATTAAACAACCTCCCTTGTGGTATCATGACCCCAATCTAACGCAGTTGGAAAGACTATTTTTACTCACGCCAGCAGCACGATGAGGCACCATAGCATAGTGCAAGCATGTCAGTAGACACTGAAAATATTAAAAACCTTTTTCCTGTCCTCCCCACTCTCTTCCATCACGAACATGCTGCTTTCCTGCTACTTGGGTTCAAAATCCAATCCTTCATGACCTGTGAGAAAATTCACTAGACTAAAACTTGCCAGAGCTGCATTATTGAACACCATCCTTGCTCCAGATCAAAGCTTTTCTTGGTATTGCCTTTGTGGCAGAATATCCCACAGAGAAAGCCCTACAGCTGCAAGTAACAAGCCACTATTGGCAGATTCAAAATCATTAAAACATCAAAAAAGTAGTTCACCTTACAAAATTCTTGCTCTACACAAAAAGCAGTGCAGAATGCAGTTCAGGTTGCAAATTCTGCTGTGGCATACGAGCCCAAGTGTGGTTTTTTTTTTTTTTTTTTTTTTTTTTTTTTTTAAATCTTGCTTACTTTAATCAGTTATATGCTCAAGAGCAGGAAATCATCTCAATTCCCTAATCCTGTGATAAACTGCATTTCCTACAGCAAAGGGAGCAGTAAAGGGTCTGCAGCTGGAACTCAGCTAATTACCCAGGCGGTGCCTCAGCTCTAGCAAACTCCACATCACACTCACATGTCTGTGTCAGCACTGTAGGCCTAGCAGGAGTAAGAAGAAGCACTTATTTATGGTATCACTGGAGTCACTAGCCAGAACTCTAAAATACACCCCAGGAACAGCTCTGCTGAAGGAGAAGGTGATACGTTAACATTGACAGTTTCTAATCTACCATAACTACTCTCTACCTAAACTTCTGCTATGCCACAATAAATATAGGCAATGCGGGCAGTAAAACTTACGCTGAAAAGCTTTCCTACAGCTCATCCCTTTGTCTTAAAACAACATTTTAAAATATATATCAACCCTGACCATCATCAAGTGCCTAGTCTGGACCTAAACCCTGCAACTGAAACCGTATTTTACAGTAACACTTATGTTTCACATGTCACTGGCTTTAATTGCAAAGTCTGTTTGCTGGGCACCTGATCTGAGGAGTGGAGGGGGGAGTCATTTCAGCGACCAGTGCAATTTCAGTGCAACTGCAGGCTGTCGGTAGGGAAATTTTTAACATAAATAGGCTGGAGGGGAGAAAAAAAAAAAGGCTAAAATCTCTTCTGCTTACACTGGCTGTGTAGCACTAAAGAGGGAAAATGCCATTAAAGGGCAGGAGCAATCTGCTGCACCCAGGCGTTCTGGGTGCAGGGAGGGCCTTGGAACGGCTCATTAGAGCTTCTTCAATAATGGATTCTGCATTGCAAGATTAATTGCAGCCATGTGCTCTGTCACACCCGCCGCAGACTATTTAAGTTAACAATCCAATCAATAACCTTTTTCAAACAAAAGAGAGATTATATTGAGGAAAAAAAATAAGCAAGGACTCTTTTTTCCAAACAAACTTAAAATTATTTATTCAGACTAAAGGAAATATTCACCCAGGTTCTCCAGGCGCATGTATCTGGTGCTCAACATCTCTGTTAGATGACAGTGTTGTATTTTTCAGTTCTTTTCTTCAATGTATAGTGATTTTTTAAAAATCAATAGCATAATGAAACCCCACAGGGCTCCTGACTGTCTCATGTCAGAATTTATTCCATAACTACTCAGGTCTTTAAACAACTACAAATACATATTACAGATATAATGGCCAATGTCATAGGAAACTCAACCAAAAATAGAAGCTTTACAAGCAAAGAAAATGCACAGTCAGACTTTCCTATTTCTAAGAGACAAGCATTTCTAAAATAAGCATTTCTCTTACTGAGGTCATCATTAGACAAAATTATTACCATTATTTGCAAAAAAAAAAAAAAGGAAAAAATGAGGCATTATTTTATGGCTACGATGTAAATATTCTCCCTCATTTGCCCACCTAAAAATGCATTTCACCATGCTCTCTGTAGTATAGCCAGTCCAACATATTCAAAAACTATGAGCCAAGTTTTCACATGA